GGGCGTAACTGCACTCTGCAATGAACCCCATCTCCCATACAACTCAATGCTTTTCCAGGCTCACCTCAATATGCAGTTTCGCTCTTGTGTCAGCCAAGCGACGAAGTGTTCCCTCGAAAACCCTGAAACTCCCTTCTCTGCAAGTCCGAGTCAAACAGACACCAAAAAGAGAAGTCCCTGCAGACCTCAATGCACTCCCTAGGGTTGTCAAGAAGAAGCAGAGCCCCGAAGGAAAGGAGAATCTGATTCTAATGTCGCGTAATGAAAGCGCGTAAGATAATTCATTCATTCCGGAACTCAATATCAATATCCCTAGCCGCTGGTCGTTCGAGAGGGATCCGGGATCCACGAAAAGGGTGGTTTTAATTCGTCTCGGCTGATTTATAACTCGTCCCTTTTCTTTCCTCCCACCGCGGGCTTCGCGAGGGACCTTTTTATTTCGTTATTAAATGTCTTTGTGTTTCCAAACGGCAATGAATTTTCGGGTGACGTCGTATCCATCCACCTTCTTTCGATGCTTCACGTCTCTTTCCTCTTTCCCCTATTTTCCTGTTTCGTCCATTATTTATACGTCTCATTTTACTCATTTATTTTTGCCCGGCCTCGTTTTTAACATTGAAACTTTTGAATTCTTATGAGCCAAACTCATAAATCATCAACATCTCGTGTGCGCGGTAAAATTTATATTTCAATCAAAAGGAGCTTCCTTTAAATAATTTCTGGGAAAGACTTACTTCTAAATCACTTGAAATCCCTTATAAAGAAACCGGGCTGTCTTCGTATCCTTTTTAAATAACTTTAATTCTTTCAAAAGATATAATTAGTCGAATATCCTTTTGACAAAAACATTTTCCTTAGTGCGCGCATTGAGAGCTTGATGTATAATTGCCTACAGACAATGCTACCTAAGAGCCGAGAAAGAATATCGCATAAAACTGATGCGCCAATCAGAGAGCAGATTAGACACGTCTATGTAAGGTCTTCTACCTTGATCGTTCAAGAGACGAAAGAAACACGAAGAGGGATAATCTCCTTCAAACTCATCCTTAAGGGCCACCTCCAGAACTGTGTTCCGCTCAGAAAATTCTAGCTCCGCTGTTTTATGGCCATACGAAACAAATATTGACCAAAAGCCAGCGTCGGCTCCAAACAATAAAACACAATAGCCACCGGTGGACCGCATACGTGGCGAGACCTTGGGAGTCTTCCGAATCACTCTCGGTCGAGTATAACTTCTCTCCTCCTCCTTTTGCTCCTCCATTTTCCTCTATTGTTTATAACTCTCGGAATTTTTATCGCAGCATCGGCGATCTAATCTCGATCGGCCCAGAGTGACGCCATAGTTGTTTTGTTTCATTTCCTTCTCTCAATGCATTTCCGATCTCAGAGATGAAACGAGAAAAGGACGCATGTCGGTTTGAGAAGTTGCAGCTTCCCTTTTATATTTTACTTTCTAAAAGAGGATCTTCGAAGTTTCTGAAAACGATTCGATATATAAATTGATAATTTGTTAATGTTTCAACAAACCCTTCACCTCCCACCTACGAAGGAGAAAACTCCTCTTTTTTCAATTTACGTTACAGTAAAACAGTCTTGTTTTCACAATATTTAACGAGGAACTTTTTAAAATAACTCTCAAAGCACAATCCGGTTGAATATCGCAAATTGTTCTTTCTTTCGATTTTTAAAAACTTGGGGCGTATCGGAATAATTTTTAAATGTGTTCTCAAAAATTGTGTGTACAAATACCAGACGTTCTTCAGCGTGTTGTAAACATTGGATATTTGTTTCTATAACATCTTAAAATTCATAACTTATCAGCTAATTGATCGACTATCAGNTATTCTGTTAGTGTCTTGCGCGTCTAGGACGTCATTCTAGTGGTGCACGCCTCCGCTGACATTGACCTTGCTTTGTAATAAAACAACTGTTCCTATGCAGTTGCGAGAGCGCTGTAACAGACACGGACTCAACGCGGGCGGGAGCGATGTCTCGATAAGAGGCGTGCTCCGAATGTGTAATCTGTTTTGGCGTATTTTTGCTTGGGTCTCTCTTTTTCTAACTACTACTATCGAGTCGTTCTGAAATATTACTAAAAAAGTGCCAAACACAGTTCGATCGGCACGAAACTCATATTAGCGCCTACAAGACTATAGGAATACTTTACACATTGCACATTCACTTAGAGTATTCATTTTGAATAGATTAAGATTCACTCGTGGGTTATGATCGATGTTTGTGCATTTTTTTACTAAATCCTATTTGTTCGTTCGAGGGAAAATTGACGGTTTTCGAGATCTCATGCAGCGTTTTTTGGCACGGCAGTGGTATATTGTTACAGGATTTGATATACCATGCTAACTGAATCCTTGGTCTACCTGACGAATGACATTGGTGGTCTAGACCCAATGAGAAATGGTTTAAATTTAGACTTATTCTTTCAAATTTTGATGACAAAATCCTCATAGAGACTTTTTTAAGCTCCAGGGTGCGTTTCTAAATTTCACACATATGCAAGCGATTTCAGAATAATGCAACAGTCCCATTCATATGTAAAATAAGGACGGAAGCAGCGCATTGAGGAGGATTACTTCCTCCAACTCTGGCATCGCGTGCAACAAGTGAGCGCTCTGTAAGATCGGCAATTGACTCTCTACCTTTTTACATACATTTCACCGCAGATGATTTAGTCCGCCATGTTGAGTATTTGACCACATACATTTCGCGTCCAGGCCTCCTTCCGTCCTCACCTCTCTTTTGAAACGGCCTATCGGACTGCTCAAATCAAAAATACTGTTACAATAAATTGGATGTGACAATAAAAGTCATTAGATTAGACAATCTAGGCTCAGGATGACATTTCTCGAAAGAAAACCAAAAGACATCAGCTACTGCCAAATTTCATAGGACAATTGATTTTCCTACAAGGGAAAAAAACGTGTGAATTCTGCAAAAAATTTCGTAGAATTCATTTAAGGTCATAAAATAAAGTCCCTGAAATTTTCTTGAGGATCAGTAAAACCTTTCTCTCATAGAGAGACTGTCCACACTTCCAGAAATACACTAACGCACTTCTAGAAACACTGCCTATCTTAAAATCGAGAATCACTAGTGTAAGGCGCGGAATTTGATCTTTGAGACTTGCTTAGCCAAGGAAGTGGAGATTCGGTCTCGCAGAGTCTTAAGAAGAGGATACGAATTTGGAGTCGATTATTTAGTTGCACTTTCTGTCTTCGAGTTTCGCGTCAGTTAAATCCATTAAGCAAGTCGCCTGTCAGAGGTTTCCTCTTCATCCTTGCTTGTTCTGTGCCGTTTGATTTCCGAATTTCCTCCAATTGTGCCTTTTCCCTGTTAATGGCATCATCGTATTTCTTCTATTTTAGGAAATACTATCTTTCTCTCTGACTTCTGTCTCGAAATCACTAGCGTCGCCGGGGAAGTGCGCTTTAATTCTGAAGGGAAATTGCTTCTCTTCCCATTTACAGTACGACTATGAACGTAGGAAAGGTGGAGGGGGGAGGGGTTCTTGCCCCTAGAATCCTTGTGGTCATCTCCTCACAGAATTTTCAGATCCCATTGTTGGAAAATAAACAACTTAGTACTGCTGACCAACAACAATACAACAAACCATAGTTGGTGCTGAATACCAATAAATTGTGTGTTTTCCACCAATTAGTTGTACATCAAGACCCATCAGGTACTTCAAGTGTCATCCCCTCTTTTTATATTTTTTGCATGATACCCCCATAAAGTTGTTGTAAACATTAATTTCAATAGTACACCTACACTTGCCAACACTAACTAAGTTAGGTAGGCCAATTTTTTTTTCTTTACAATTGGTTCGGATTAACAACTTCTTTCATGCATCTGACGGTCTGCTTTTAAACCTTTCTCATACAAGTACAAATTAACAGATGCGATTTGTGCAAACTCGAACAATAACTCTTTTCCGGTGATCGAATTTTTTTCAGCTTTTTCAAAACCTATGACGTCACAAGATACCACAGTTGTGCTTTCGTTGAAAATGTAATGCCCCCCTCCCCGCCTACATTGACGTTCTGCAAAGCCTCAATAGGCGTGAACTAAACCCCCGACATTACGACATACGGCATTTAATCTCAAAGTGAGAACATAATCATAAAATAATTTGAAACAGAAACATTTTTTTATCTAAATTGGAATTTTTATGAACGCACCCTAAAAATATTGGAGGACAAACGTTTGCTTAATATCGATCTTGAGTCTCCGCGTGATGTCGATGAGAAATAATTTTCAATTTTTAAAATGCAAACTTTTTTTTAAAGTACTTACCAACCTCCTTCAACCAGAAATTCTACTCTATAGATAACTTTTTCGGAAATCTTTACTTCGCCGATAGTAGGGGATGAAGGAAAATCGAAACCACCGAATAAACGCTTGACAGAAACTTCTTTTTGTCCTATTATATCTTGATTCCTGAACACATACTTTCAAGTGGCTTTACGTGAGGCGCGCAATGTGTTCGAAGCGATCGTATCGAAACTCTGACTTCTCTTCCGCAGTCCGGTTGATCTACTCACCGTAATCCCAGTTCCTTAACTTGGAAATTCCGTTCTTATTTTCTAGCGCGCCTTTTTATTTTTGTCTCGGGTATTGTGAAAAGAGCTACGAATAAGAACAAAGTCAGGCGCGGAGTATTCTTCTTACAAGCTTGCCTTTTTCTTTTTAAGCAGCCACATGCTGATACATATGCTCAAGCAGGATAGACGTGATTTTTAACTTACTAAAGCCGACGGATCAGCCTCAAAATTCACACAATAATGGTATCGTTTTGATTACTCACCCGTTACCTTTTAGAGAGAACGTGGAGGAAGGCGTTATCTGATACATTTCGACGGTATAACTCTCAAACCACGTATGTCTTTTGCAGTGTTTAAAAGTCTCCGCTCCTGTTTTATTTTTTAAAGGAGAACTTTTTTAAAGGAGTATTTATACATGCAGACATATTCGTTTTGTTCCAGAAAGCGGCATCCAATGCCAGCGTGGTAGTTTTGCAGTATGTGGGATTCAGTCTGTCTGGTAATCTTTCATGCGAGGTTACTGCTGATGCTCCCTCTTTTGCCACAGCGGTTGTTTCCAGACAGATTCTTGTCGTTGGTAAGTTTTGAATGTACTCTATAGTATCAACGCCATACTATTTTCTCAAATATTTGGGCAGGGAAAAAGATCTCCACTCAGATTTTCTCAAAAAAAAGGCAATGATATTTTTAAAATGTTGCAAAATGTGCGTATCGTTTTAAAAGAGAGCGGAGGAGGTGAACTTGTAACTACGATAACTGTAAGCAACGCCTTTCATTATAGGTAACAGTGGGTAAAAGAATGACTATATGTGCGAGTAGGTAAATTATAGAGACTCTATCTTGATTCGATGACTTGAATTATTTTAAAGTTGCTCCGTGGAAAAAATCATGTTAAATTAGTAATCCTAGGAAATGGTTGAGACTATTGCACATAAATCCTCCTAATGTTAATACATTAAAAAGTTAACAGGATGAAGATTTTTACAGAATTTCTCTGAAGTTTCTACACAAATGTATTCGTTAGTCTTTACATCATAATGTTTTTAAAATTATTCCCCATTTCTTTTGCTGTCAGAACTATTTATTTATGTTTAGAGCGGGCACATCTTATTCTAAGTAGATTGAAAAGTTGCTTAAATCCTGTCTCTAAAAAACAACTGGTAGTCTTGCAAAGTTAGGACGAAGTTTCAAGATCGTTCATTTCCATTTCGATTAGAATAATGGATTCAAGAACTGCCAGGACTCAAGATCTCTCTCTTCGCGCAACTATGTCTAGGCAGGAGTACAAAGTTCAAACTGTGAAACACTAGTGAGGCACTAAATATGGGCCATTGTCGCCTGATGGTTCAAAAAAATAAAAATAAAAAAATGAGAATTCTTAAAAATATGCTCCTCTTCGTAAACTTAGTGCAGTTTCAAGTCATTCCTTTTGGCTGGAATAGACACTACGATTTGCAATACAAATTGGACGAGATCATTCCGATGGTGAAAGTGCAGAATTGCGTATCTCGGTTTGCGGCGTTGCAGACTTCCTGCCGTACTTTATTTGCTTCATAGAAAACTACTGAGCGTAATTTTTTGAAAATTTCAGCGATTTTTCTTCTCTTCAAGAAAAATATTCTGTGAAAACTTCATGCCTTGATTTCGGTTTGGTCTCCTTTTACTTGATAATGTAAGAGCAAAGATTTTGAAACACCGCAACTGAGATACGCATTTTTACTGTTTCACCGTCAATTTTCGTAATTCCTTCGACAAGCTATGTTTACCTCAGTTGAAAAGAATAGTTCGGTATTTGTCGTTGTTTGATGAAACACGAACACATTTTTGACCGCCTTGATCAATGATAAAAAATTTTAAAAATATGTTCCGTTACTTACTTGCGGTATCTTTTTAAACCATCTCTTTTTAACCACTTTTTTTTCCTTTAAAAGATACCGCTAGAGAGTAGCGGAAAAAATATTTTACAATTTCTATTCAAAATTTGACTTATGCCCCCCCCCCCCCCCNAAAGTTTCTATAACGCCTTGATCGGGTTTCTTATGTAGCATCTCAATACATTTTACACAAATTTTAGCTGAAAATGATGAAATAAAGCGAGACTGTTTGACAACTCTGTCTGGGCAACGGCAACAGTCACCGGGAAAAAGTTATGTGAAAGTGTTTTGGAGAAGCGTTTACTTTTCTTCCGGACTCCCCCGCTGACGGGCTCTCTATCGCCTCGCTCCTAAAACCCATTCAAACACCGAAACCGAGGAAATTCGAACATGTGCACAACCCAAAAACCTATCAACATGAATCATTGCTGTATCAATCTGGATGAAAAGGCGCATAAATCCGTGCGGTTGGAGGAGAAAAAAGTTTCATTGCGCAGCGTATCGCTGATGTCGAATTTCAGAAACATTTCAGAGAACATGGGATTGTTACACGTTCCTCTTTCCTGGAAAGGAACGGGGGTCCGTGGGTCCTCTTTCCGCGGGTTTCCACGTTTATACTTGAAATCTTCGTGGATTCCCAGGCAGATGGATTTAACCAAAATTAGCCTAATTGCATCTCCCGTTGCTCAATTTTCTCTTGTCTTCTTTATTTCAGAGAACACTCTGCAACATAACGCCTTGAAACATTCCACGATTTTCCCTTGGCATACTCTTTGATATACAACTGCATACATATAAGACCAACGCATAAGACCAACAGAGGTCAAACGTTGCAACTGCATGCGTCACGGTTTCCATCCTCATTTCAAGCTTTCGGAAGGCATTACAAATTCGGCTGTTTCCAAGCTCCTGTGTTAAAATTTGTTAAAATTTAAATTATGTGCTAAGTTTATAAATCTACTTTTCCAAATTTCCCAGAAAAAATCGTCATATATATCCACTGTCCCTGCTCTATTTAATTAGCAGTTTATTGCACGCGGTAATTTATACATTTTATTGGAATTATTGTTAATGTTCTTCTTCTACTTTTTATACCTATCATTCTCTCTTATTCACAATTAAATCTGGTGTCTGTAAATTTTTTTTTTTAAAAAAAATACTACTCATTACCCCCCCCCCCCCAAAAAAAAAATCAAATATTATCGAAGAATATTTGAAAACATGCCGACGATGAAACTACCAGACCACGTATATCCGTTTGCGACGTTGCAAACTTCCTGTTAATTTTATTTTTCAAATGGTAAACTACTTATTGTTAATGTCAAATCCTGAAAACTACCGTTATTTTTCTGCTCTGTGCGAAAAAACTCTGAGAAAACTTAAGAAAAAATTATATGGATCGTATTCGATACATCAAACAAGTGAGATTGTATCGATATCAATTCGTTCAAAATGTAAGTCAATCGAGTAATCTGAGGGAACGGATTCTTTGTGATAAAGTTTTGATGCTTGCGAGTAAAAAATGGCAATGAAGGGTGACATTATTGAGAAGTTTCTCATTTTTAACTTTTCCAACTTAAATCTTACATTTGTTTTTAGTTTGTTGTGCGTTTTATTTGGTCTTGATGTTCTATTGTTTTGAACAAAAGGATTCATCAAACCACTATCGAATACGATTTATTGATATGTTCGCCTTAAAAAATTAAAATTGGAGCAGAAAATTTTCAAAACACCGAAAACGAGACACGTGGTCTAGTAGTTTCACCGTCGACACGACGTTCCTCCTTAACACAAAATTATATACAGATACTACTCTCTTTCAACAGCGCGGCATTGGAGATCTTGACGCTAAACGAAATCAGTCGTCTCGAGGGCATGAGCCAAGAGACGGCCTCTGCTCCCTCCGTTCGATTCAAATTTACCGTTATGACGCGACACATAAATATGTCGCCCCACTGTCTCTTTCAGATTCGCATTTGACCCCACTTGTTTCAGCGCCGTCCCGTTTTCACGCTCCCCCCGCCCGCGCGTGTCGCGTCGCGTCGCACAGTGGACCCAGTCAACGGGAGACGTCGACAACATTTGGAAACTTTAAACGCTTATAACTCCGTTTATACAAAACTCTGCGGTTCTCAAAGTGGTTCCACTGGTTCCTCGTGAAATTTTCTACTTACACCACCCCTTGAAATGTAAAATGTGACGAAATAAACACAAAAATTTGCAGTTTTAGTCAGAAATGTCATGTGCAACCTCTCTAACTGACTCGATCCACTTTGCGTCGTCCAATAAACGCTAATGGATCCGAGCGATGGGATCGCAGCCATTTTTCCCGGACTCTGTTTGCATCGTAACTCGGCTTCCACCGAGCGAGGGGTTCGGAGGATGCTTGACATTCAACAAAAGTGTCTAGCGAGTATGTAGGACAGCCACCGTTTATTGTTCGAAATTTGCAGTGCACTGAAAAAAAAGTTGGGTTTTTGAGCTGAGAATTTGGACCGCGTTTAGCAGAAAGAAACCAAGCCACATCAGCTATTGCCAAATTCAACTAGACAATTTTATTTTTTACGAGAGAACGTTTGGGCGGGTTTCTTTGAAAATCTTAATAGATTTGCTTCGCACCATGCAGAAAATTTACTTTTTGCAAAAAAAATCCGCACAACTGTTTCCATTTAAAAAATTAAATTGCACAATGTTTGACAATAGCTCATGTTGCTTGGTTCACGCGCATTGGACGCGTTTTGTTGACGGCGCTGAGATACAACTATTCGTGCTTGATGGGTGTCCGCGTTGCGTCTGCAAAATTGAAGGCGCTCTGGCGCGAGGCGTGAACTCGCTATGCTCTGATCTATGCTGTCGTCGCTCAGATTCGGGAGAAAAGTTAGGGAAAACGTGGCCTAATTACGTCTCTTGTATCTCTGGCTGCGTGGGCACTTGATTTTTTCCTTCTTTTTCAATTTGATGTCTTATTCTTCTTTTACGATTTATTTGTAGACCTAAATCACGCATTTGCGGGTACCATAACTCCTCTATAAGAGATTGTCGGGTCTATTTGACTCGGCTTGGGATTTTTAGTGGTAGTTGTCAAAAAAAAATCCCCAAGATTCGATTTTTGTTCACAATTTGTTGTCTGATTTTTTCTTAGAATGCATTTGTAGACCGTAATCTAAAACTCCGTATAAACCGGCCCCATAAAAACGGTGAGTCAAGCGATTTTAGCAAGTGTCGGATCCATTCGTCCTGCTTGGGCATCCAAGAGTTGAAAAAATGAAAAATAGTTGAAAATGAAAAAGAACGTTAGACAACGTAAAATTTTCGGCTGATTTCGATTGAGTCCGTCCAATTAAAATTTACTGGAATTTTTTACTTTCATTATTTACTGTAAAGGTAAACGAAATGTATGATAGTGTCATAGTATAGAGAGTAAAGATTCCAAGTATAAGTCCGTTCATTTCTCTATTTTACTCTTTATTTCGTTTTAAAATTTTTAGTCTCCAGTAAGAGTATATACTCCGTTTTGATTGATGATGTTCATTCTATAGTTAAAAAGCTAACAATTTGGTCAAATAAAGCGAAATTTTAGCGATGACTGAATTAAAATTCAGATCAAGTACGTTAAAATCATTTTGGACCCTGATGAATAGGTTTATTCAAAGCGGCAGCATGTTTTCCACTCACTTTTGTGTCATTGAGGCAGATCAGACAG